CTTTCCTAAGCTCACTTAGCCAATACAGTTTTGCCTATATTTATGTATAAAATAATACTCTTGATTGTCCAGATGCTCTTGTTTAGGTTTTTTTTCTGTGAACTGACAGCAGTTACTTTGTTTTTCCTTAGCTCTTCATATTCAAAACTATGACATAGGGATCACTTTGTAATTATTGGGTGGAGTGAACTAAGCAGTAACTTAGTTTTCATCATTTTCCATTTACCTCTTTATTAGGAAAATGCAATTTATATTTTAATTTATCATCTTTACCTCCCTCTTCTGGTGGAATGTGGTAACGACACTGTGTGTATGTCTACAGAGTAGACTCCTCTGTAATTTTACATACACATCTGTAAATTTGAATCTATATTTTACAAACTTTATATGCCAAGCCTCAAAACTCTCATTTGATCTATTTTTGCTGATTTGTTTAAAGGTGCATTTGAGCAGAGGTTTCTTCATTTATCAAGTTACTACTGCTGCTATTATTTGTAACATCAATTTTTACCTGAAGAGTTCAGGGAACTTGAAATCAAGATTATAATAGGAATCTCTGTCCTCAGACAGATGATCAGCTGTAGCCTCAGAGAGATGGAATAATCTGCAATTTTAAGCACTATTTGAGCTCTGAAATTAAAAAATCCTGTATGGTCAATTCTTATTTGTGATGATAAGTAGGAAGGGACACAGCTCACATGGCAGATTGTATGTGACTTCTAGCTTGGTACCTGCCTCTCAGAAGAAAGGGAAATCCTGGTACTATTAGGAGCAGAACAGAACTCAAAAGATGTGGTGACATGCATCCCATCGCAGTAAAGACAGGAATGGACCTAGAATTACAACTAGAAATTCAAATAACACTTCTCACTGTTTGAGAAGGAGTTTTATGTGGCTTTTCAGTTGAGTCTGCTCAGGTGGTTTATGGATCAGGATGTTGTGTGGTAATAAAAGAAGGCAGAGGGCAGGCAATTAAAGCTATTGAAGTCATATTCTTACCTGAGCATTTGTGAGAGATAAAGGGAATTTTCAAGTACACTGATGTGGAATGCATGGTTTCTCCTGTAGTTGGGTCAAGTCCAGTTGCTTCAGCTGCAGTACGTGTTGCACCTCCACCACCGCCACCACCTCCTCCTCCACCACCCCCTCCCCCAGGACTACAACGAAGTGTGTCTGCAATTGAGCTGATTAAAGAAAGGAAAAACAAAAAAACGAACTCTGGACAGAATCTGACAGAAAATGGGCCAAAGAAGTCTGAAATACCAAACATGCTAGAAATCCTCAAAGACATGAACAGCGTGAAATTACGCTCAGTGAAAAGGTAACAAATATAAATAAGTATGAATGTCTTAACATTTGCATTAGTGATTTGTTTTTATGACTCAGGACTATTTCTCATTTTCTTTTCTAGATCATCAGAAGGTACAAAACCTAAAGTGCCTGACCCTACAGATCCTGCAGCGTTAATAGCAGAAGCCCTCAAAAAGAAATTTGCTTATCGATACCGAAGTGACAGCCAAAGTGAAGCAGAAAAAGTGATTCCAAAGACTGAAACAAAGACAAAGACTGAGACAAAGACTGAAGTAGTGCTGGTGAGTACTGTGGTTCTGCCCACATGTTTGGATGAAATGCTACTGTCATGAAAGCCAACCTGTGTCTTGCTGCCAACATGCATAAACACCTACAGGTCAGCACCCCAGTCTACAACACTCTCTGAAGTACTGCTGGTAGGCCAGGATTTGCAGAAATCACAGGGGTTTAAGATAGAGTCTTAAGATAGTGTAAAATCCTGAAGCAAAATCCTGTAACGCTGTTCCTAGGAATGTTAAGAATGCTTGCTGGATGTTGGAAATGCTTGGTAACTAACAGCAGTTTCTTATAGTGTGAGAAAATAAGTTAAAAGGAAATTATATTTAAAATTCATGTACAACTTAATGTCTTCTTGTTTGTTTCAGATAGATTTGAAATTGAAGGAAGGGATTTTTAAGCAGTGAATGCTCAAGATGCAAGTTAGCAATAGACAGTTAAAAGGCACAATAATACGTATCAGTTCTGTTAGTAAGCAATCCTTGAAGCCTTGTGCTACAGAGCCAGAGAGGAAGAGTAAAGAGTAAAAATTTTCCCCTTTGCACGTTTGGAAAAATGCACATAAAACTTCACATCTGGCTGCACTCTGAATTAAGTTCTGAGGAAAATAAGATTCCCAAGCCACAAATCTCTGGACTTCTGAGTACTTCAGCTTATTAATGTTGACTTACTTGTCTTCTAGTTTAGGCCTTAAAGATACATTCCTGTAACATTCAGGCTGTTCTTCATAACTCAAAGGCTAGATATTCCCAAAGAATCAAGCGCTTTTTTTCCCCAGAACCTCTGGAACCTTAAGGAAAAGAAAAGGAGTTTGCAGTGTTTTCTTCACACACAGGTTTTTCATGACTTTCCCATTTTGAAAGTCCAGGTTTTGAGATTAAGGATCATAAAGTCCTCAAAAGCTAAGAAAAGTTAAAGTTTTAGTTTGTTAAATGGTAGAATGTTGATCCATAATGAGCTAATAAACATCTGTCATCAGTTACTTATCAGTATCAGTCCTCGTATGGTAACCTTGTGTGACACAGTTTTTGAACAAAGATACAGGCCCGAGGAAGAGCAGAAATACTGTTCAACTGCTGCTATTGGTTGTCAACTTCTAAAGATAACTGCATCTGTCTTCTTAGCTAGCTGTGATAGAGTGAACCCTCTGTAGCCAGAGCTGCTCCAGCAGATGGTTCATTGCCTCATCCGAGTTATTTCAGCTGATTCCTGATACAAGTTTTCTTTACTTTCTGGCTATGACTTGTGTGAAATCCACATGCAGAGCAGCAGATTGATAAAGGAAATTACCTCTGCCTAAATTCTAGTTCCTACTTACAACTTGGATGGATAAAAGCTGCAGTAAGTTTCTGTTGAGAGCAATCTGAATGTGTTTCTGGTTTCCTTCCCAGTTTGGGCCGCACATGCTGAAGTCTACAGGAAAAATGAAGACTTTAATTGAAAAATCTTAATGTATCAAGATTACTACGTGAAAGACTGTTCAGCTGTGTTGCTTGAAATCTTTTATGTTGCAAATAGCACTAGTACTGAGTGGTCTCTTACAACACAGGGAAAACCTAATGTGAAAGGTAGAATTGAGGCACTAAACATGTTTGTATGTGGATTTATCAAGGGGAATTAATTTGGCTGTTATACTCAGGTATTAATTTTTTATTCAAACCTGGCTGATCTACTCAGAGTTACTTGGTGGGTTTAGTTTATTAACACTAAATTATATTTACACAACATTCTTTGTGCATAACTGACCATCTTAAAATTTTGTGTACAATAAAGATTGTGATAACATCCTTGTCGATAGTTATTGGAGCTCTGACTGTAACTTGCACTACAGTGTTTAGTTTGATGCTGAATTTTTCATGTCAAAGTCTTTGTTTTAAAGTTAGCAAATTTTTAGCCCAAAGAAAACCTGCATTCTGCTTCCTACTGAAAGCGAAAACTTAATTATGCTGCAGAGGTCACCTGGTATGAGACATTTTAAGTAATAGCACATTTTTGTGCAAGGCTTTTTTTGTTGTTTGGGGTTTTTTTCTTGTTTCAAATGAGCTTGCAAGGGTAACAGCACAAAGCCTACTTGTATCATGCTGTGGCCAAGACGAAGAGTGCATGACAAGTGAGTTAAATCATGCTGTGGGAGCCTCTGTGAATAGGAAGTCCAGTGAATTTGAAAGAACCAGTAGGTAGCAGCAGAGTAAAATAAGGTAAGAGCTTGTGTTAGCCAGCATAGAAGTGGTGTGGGTAAGAAACAAAGGCACAAAATGTTGTGGAGTGCAAGTTGCCAAAAGTATTGCTCATTTCAGCTGTGCTGAGATGCTCATGGAAACCTTTTTATCCTCAGCTGTCTTGGGTCCCCTGATGGGTTTCTAGCAGCTGGGAACTGCACAATCCCTCATGGTGCTGTTTGCAGGGCAGAGGGAGCCTATGCTGTGGCACATAACCTGTGTTCCAGGGGAGTGGGGTCATCCCCCTGCACCTATTCCCTGCCGGGCTGCTGCACAGCTAGTTCATTAACTGACCACCTGAGCTCACCTCTCCAGCCACAGATAAAGGGCTCAAGCTAAAAATAAAATTCAGGCTGAAAAAAAGCTCTTTAGGAACCAAAGAACTACCACTTAATTGCACATTTACATGAAGACAAGATTTGCTCAGGCCAGAGATAAGCATATAAAAAAAAATAATCTGGGTCTTTCAGTGTTGTAAGGTGATCTGGCTGCTGGAAGGAGTGCCAGTGCCTCCTCGAGCTACTCTTTTCTAGGAAAAGAAAAAAGCAGCACTTCTTAAATGAAGAAAGGGGAGTGGCTCTGACTACCTTACTGAAGCTGACTGAAGTTTTGCTGCTTAGAGCTGGAATGTAGCTTTTGTGATCAAGGAGGATGTTTCCTGGTGTGAAGCTTCAAGTGCTGTTAGTATGTAGACAATCTAACTTCCAAAACGCTCTGCCGCGCACCTTACTGATAAGGCCATTACATCTTTGTGTTCTTTTAAATGCCTTGAAAACACCTTTTTAAATGTTAAAAGTTTTGTATTTAATGCTCTGTTGCCACTCTATGAAATTAAAAGCCGTTAAAATAACTAGTGTGTGTGATTTGTGGTGCTCTCCCAACAGCGGCAGCCAGAGGGCGGCCACAATACGTTCCCTTTCTAGTGACTGTAGCTCCGTGTAGTGACATCGGAGACTTGCAGCTCCTTCATGACTGGACATCCCTTGCTCTGCAGCAGGAGTAACAGTAGAATTAGTCACAGACCAGCAAAGAGCTGTTAATTCAGTTACATTCAGACAAAACTGATCAGGAATTCCTCATCACAAACATAAGAGGAAGGAACTCGAGTTCAGTTGTCTCTCCACCCCCTTGGTTTCCCTGAAAGTCCCTTGTGTGGCACAACCTTCCCCTTGCAAAGAGCCACAGCTCCAGAACAGCTGGCCCAGAATACCTCTGAAGTCCTCACCTCTATCTAAAGTGTTTCAGTTCACATTATTCTAAATGGCAGAATTCAAATTAAGTATCTAAGTCCAATTACATCATTAACTTGCAAAATCACTTGCACCATCACTTGACCTACTGAACTAGGCTAAAGTGTGGGGAAAAAACCCACACAAAACATTTACAGTTTGAACTGCTGATGTGAGGTGCAGGTATCTAGCACCCCAGAAATACAAAAGTCTGGCAAACCTTATCAGTGATGTACAGTCACAGTAAAGCATCATCTGCACAGGAAAATAAAATTACAAAGCTGCCATCAAATAATCTGTCATATTTCTCTGTACTGTAGTTCATACCCTGCTACTTGAAATATTTTACATCCACAGTGCCACTGCCCGCAGAAAATCATCACAAGCAGAAGTGCTCAAGCTAAGGACATCCCTACATGCTGGACAGGGACCTTCCAACTCCACCTAACCTAAGGTCCATTGGCATCTGTGTAGGTGCAGCATTTCAGCACTTCTACACAGCATGCTGAAGAAAATGCGTTTGTTAGTTGCTTTTTAATTCAGTCAACTGCCAGATGCTTCCATGTACACTAATAGATGGGATTAGAAGCAGTCTTTCTAAATCCAGTCTGGTAGGTAAAGATGGCTTAGGACAAAAGTACAGATGTTTTGCTCTAGCACCCTGACAAGCTGTAGTGGCAGCAAGACTGCACAACATTAAAGAATCAGAGGTTGGTTGTAAATATTAGACTGAAATATTGCTACATACATATATGTAAATTCATTAATTTTTAATAAAATATGCTTATAAATAGCCTGCAACAACTAGCAAAATGTATATTGCTGTTGAGGCTCTGCCTTTAACCAAGTCACATTTAAAAAAAGTCACAGAAGACATCAGATACTGATTTTAAGGTTTTTTTGAAAACTAGTGCAGGCTTGGAATATGCTTTATTCAAGAAGACTGGAGAGGAATCAATATTTGCACACAGAGCCCCACGGATCTGTGCAGGCCATAAGGAAGCTGTGCTGCAGGCTCTCTGCAGCAAGTTGCTCACCCACAGCCTTTCCTTGTCCTCAGGGCTCCAAATGCCACTGGCAGGCACCGCCCTTTCCAAGGCAGCCTGTTAAAAGAGTGAGGCTTTTCTCTTGGTGCCAGTTACATCCTCAGCTCATCATCCCATCTGATCCTTCCCTGATGACACCAGAGAACAGTAAGAACTTGCACTGATGGCAAAGGAAGGAAGTTCACGCAGCTTCAAAGAAATGTTTTCATTACAAATTTATTTCTTTAAACATGGCCACTTTAAGATTAATGGTATCACTTCAGGGAACATGAAAGAATTATAAACAACCAAATTTCAGAAGGGGAACAATCAGGAAAGTCAGGATTTGCTTTTCAAACAGTAAAAGGCCAAGCTCCAAGAGGCAAGAAGTTTTGGCATATGAGGACTAGTAGTTTCAAATCCAGAAGTTGGCTTGGTTTTAACAGTGGAAGCTGACTGCAACCTTAGCTACCTCTCCATAATGCTGGACTTGGACATAACTTAAATGTACAGGAGCATAATGTGAGAAGATTATTTGTTTTTTATTAATTAAAAGTTAACAGCAACAGGCACATACTAAATGAATATGGCAAAGCCTTTACAAATGGCTTTACGCTTGAGTTCTCTCCCAAAAATGGCTGTTGCAACAAACTGTAAACAGAATCAATAAACAGTCTTTTACAATAATAACAGGGAAATACAAATGAACTAAAAGAAAGCACCAGTTTCTCAAACTAGATTACAGTTGTGCTTACTGTACTTAAAACAATGTAAAACAAATTACAAAAATGGAATGTTTTAAGTTTAAAATTAGTCCTTTAATTTTGTCCTAAAAAACATTTTCTCCTTTTCCCATCAAAAACCCATTCGTGGGTAATGTTTCAGTAGAGGGAGGAATACGTAAACAATGCACTTTTTTTTGTGTGTGTTTGTTTTTTCCTTAGTTTTCAAATCAAAAACAAATTTGGTCACTTAGCTTTGTGCATAGTTTAAGGCATCTGTAGCAATTTGTTACAGTTTCCTCCCCAGTGTGGCTGTTCGATGAAGTTGTCACATTCTAAAAGAATAAATAAAATAAAATAAAAAAACAACCAAAAAAAAAAACCAAACCAACCAAAAAGTAAATGTTGCCTTTCAAACCCTTCCCGGGACCCTCCCGCCCTCCCCCTCCCCAGACATACTCACACACCCACACGTACACACACGCTGCAGCGAAAGGGGCATTTGTACCCTTGTTCTGAAGGACACGCTTCCCATCCCACTTTATTTCAGATTGGCAAATACCCTGAGCTGATTGTGGTGTTTTAGACATTCCACCTTTTTCTTGCATGTGCAGTTCAAGTGTACAATGGTGAAAACAACATGCAATGTTTCCACTGCAGAATCGCAATGTAGTTTGGCCGCTGCCCCCTCCCTCTCCCACCCCCCACCCCTCTCCCACCCTTTCCCTTCCCTTCCCAAAATTCAGAAGTGTTTCCCACTGTTAAAAAATTGCATTCCCATATAGCACTGGAGTAAAAGCTTGGCTGTGCTCTATGATGAATGCTCAGTTCCCAGTGCACAAAACAAAATTATGGCAAATGGGAGGCTTTTCTGGCATCCAAAGAAACAAGAGCTGCAGTCTCAGTTTTGATCTTTTTCTTTTAAAAAAAGCAAAAAAACCCCAAGTTAGTGGTTCCTTCACAGCCATGCGCAAAGGTTAAGTCTAGAACCAATAGTTTCAGAGTACATTTGTAAACATCAAGTCTTGCCAGAGGCAGCAGAGGATGGGCACTTCACATTTCCGTATTAAAACAGGGACTGAGTGGAAGGTATGCTTTGAACACATTTATGCAAGTCTTGCTAGATTCCAAGAAAGTGGAACAATCCATCTCAAGTCTTAGGTTTCAAGACCATATTCCACATTTCACAAAAAAAACAAAAACAACAAAAAACCAACCCCAACAAACCCCAAACAAACAACAAAGCCAAGTGGCACGATGAAGCTTCCGTACTGTTCCTCCACGGCTCGGTCACTGCTGTGCTTTGCATATTCAAGGTTCCCAATGAAAACCAACTGAGGCGTATGCATATTGCTCTATGTTCAGATCTTGCAGTTTAAAAAAAAAACAACTCTGGTCCAAATGGTCTGTGTCAAAGGAAAACTTGGAAATAAATAAATGCTGGCATCATTTTACCAAAACCTGGAGCTGGCAAGTATCTCCTTTAATCCAACCGTGCAGATACCAAGAGAAGAAAGAGGCAGTTTAGTCATGAGGATTGAGGTCAGGACAATCGAGGTTCCTGAGGTAATAGGTCTGAGTCCATTTCCTCAAAAGCGGGGTCAACATCGTCACCGCTGCCAGACTGTTCCCTCTGCACCCCCTTCCAGCTGGCCTTGTTCAGTCCCAGGTGGCCCAGCATCGTCTGTGACAGCCTTGTGTTTGAAAAACGGGCCCATTCCCCAAACAGTGGCTCCACCAAGTAGGTCATAAAACCTTTGAGAGCAAGCAGACAAACATCCAAGTGAAAAACAAACAACAAAACAACCCAACCCACAATCAAACTAAATATTTTAAATAAAAATTTAGCAGCAAAAAATAAACCATGTGTCAAGACTGTTCTTCTCCAGTGTGCATCTTAAAATTTCTTTTAAGTATTCATGGCATCTTAACAAAATCATCTCTCAAAATATCAATTATTTTACCAGTCAGCTGAAGGAACAGCATTATATTGGATCGCAAGGTAACCACCTCTCTTTCACAATAATGACCAAATAAAGGAAAATATTGGGAGAACACAGGGGGAGGAATCTAAGCATCAGCAACTAAGCCACACATACTAACTTAGAAAACCTAAATTTCTAAAATAAAGATTTTGTAACAAATTAGCCCATAGACAGTCTGAACTATAGTACACAAGAAAAAAAGCAACATTATTTTCACAATGTTAAGTTGATTAAGAATACTGAAAAACATAAATGAAAATTTTTCAGCAAGGCCACAGAACATCAACATACAAACATTTCTATACATGTTCCTGTGCATCCTCATGTACACTTGTTTACAGTGTCCACTTCCATGAACCTAAAATTCAATTGTAAGATAACCAACATAGGATGTGTTACTTACACAAATGGAAGAGTTTATAAATTAAAACAGTGCAGCTGATTGAACAGATCAGGTTTTGTCTCTAACTTAAAAGCCCAGAGAGGTGGAACCCCACTAAGGTAACCCTCCTGTGAAAAGGACCTGAGACTGCATAGGAAAGGGGAACAAAGACTCCTCTTCCCAAACTGGCCACTTCAGATGAGGAGAATTCTGGGCAGCAGCACAGAAGTCAGACACCTGCTTCCCATTCTGCACCTGCTCTGGGAGGTAACAGGGGCTTTGCTCTCACAGACCATCAGTGCAGCATCTTCTGAAAACACTCCAAGGAGAAATGTTGAAAAAAACTGCTCTTTGTAACCAAGTGCTACTGTGCACACAAAGACAAAACTCCTGGGACGTGCATTTAGAAAGTACTTTTTCAAATAGCATCCTTAAAGAAATCCACTAAAATAAATGGAAAACAAGAACTGCAGTTACCGATCTGGATGTTGGCAATAGTTTCTGTCTGTCGGTCACAAAGTGGACTCACACCCAAGTGATACTTCTTTTCAATATCTCCTAAAGAAATAAAAGTATAATATAACTGTTAAGTCATCTGACCCAAACTCCAGACCCAAATAGGATCATCAAACACAGAGAGAGGTGAGTTGTGCACCCTGCTCAAGAAGGATGGTGTTTGCTGTTTACTTCCCTCCCCCACCTTCCAAAAAAACCCAAAACATGTAGGTCTGTCAGTGAGACCAACGGTACTTTGTAGCTTTCATCAGACAGTAATTAGAGGGCAAAACATCAAATTACAGGTTTCCTGAAGGATTAACACACTACCTTGCAAAAACTCCTAGGCTGCTGTAGAAATGCCAAGTTAAGATCTCCCCTTGCCTATATGGAAGAGAACAGCCTTCAGGAATCTCGCACTAATGCAATTTGTTGTTCTGCTTTCCTCTATCCCCTTTATCTACGAATAAGCTTCACATGATTAGCACCAAATAAAGCAGTCTGTTCCCTTTTTACTGTATCCATGCACCAATTAGCAGCTCTCAAGTCAGCTAAGCTAGCCTCAATAAAGGAAGGTGAAGCACAAATTATTATTAAAGCAGTTACAATGGAGAAAATTCACTCCACTTGTCAATTAAAAGCTTTATTAACTGCTTATAGAAGTAAGTAGCCTCAACCACAAAACAACTCAAAATCTCTTCCCTCTTGCCTGCAGGTCTCATGGCTACAGTTTAAATATTGAAGTTACATGATTAATATATTTCATAATTTACTGAAACCACTACATAAATGTAAAGTGAGCACAACTCTATCAGTCCTAAATATAAATGCCTTTCTTTTCAAGCAGCTATGACTCACTGTTGCCCTCTCCACAGTCTAAATAAATTATGTACCAATGTATACTTCTACTCTTACTTGCCTTGATGGAAGAACTCCTCTGTTACTTTTTCACTCCACTGCTTACTCAGCTCCCACGTCCGACATGGATTACAAATATCAGCACACTTCAAAGCCATCTAGTAAGTTAACACACACAGCATTAGATCACCTCTCCCTCCAACAGAAGCAGCTGTAATTTATTTCCTGACAGCAGATTAAGTTTTGTGAATAACAAACCTACCTACCATTTGTGCTTCTCTCTAAAGTTATGTTCTATAATATTTTTTAAATGCTTAGAGAACTATCAGATCTCATGATCATCTCTGAGTAATATGGAAATTCAGTCAAGTCCAAGTATTTTGGGACACAATATTTAGTATATTCACTAACACAAGAGACTGCAATAAATTTATTTTTTTTAAAAAAGTATCAAAGTAAGAAAACAGTATTTTGCATTTCTAGCTCTGAAGTTCACCTTTTTAGTAATGCACAGGTTTGCACAGGACTGAACTTATCTATTTGTCCACTTCAATTTCAAGTTCACGATATGAACCTATAATAACAAGAGACTCTCAAGGCTTTTGCTTTTAAAGCTTTCTGAATCTTTCTCTAGCACTGCTGCAAACTGATTCACAAGGTGATACTTTCCTTTCCTGAAATAGGTTCTGACAAAGCATTTCACAGTTCTAAGACTGCACTGGAGTCATCAGAACTAAGCCTTGCCTTGGAAACAACTCTCCTCAGTTTAGCAGCCCCAAGTTACCAGACTTACCAACACACAACATCACTGGGAGAAGTGCTGGGGGGCAGGGGATGAGAGAGGGAACGTTTTCGTAATGAAACAAAATGGCTAAAAGAGATTTCTGCTTAACTCTGAAAGCGGGAAATAGCTTGGAAATATTATTTGGCATTTTAAGTAAATTATTTTTTATGTTAAAATGATGTTTTCAAAAATATTTCCACAAAGGTCACCTGTAAAATGAAGTGACGATGGTTTGCATTCTCTAAACATAGGTCTCCTCTGTCCAAGTGGGATCGGAACATGGATAGGTACTCATTTTGCTGACTGATGTCTGTGGCAAGAATGAGGTCACCTATCTGGCTTTCCATCAGCTGCCTGGAATTAGTAATACCAAGCATTCAAAAAGCATAACAACTAAGAACAGCAGCCATCACTACATTTTCATACTTTTATAATTTTCATTATAACTCACAAGATTTTAAGCATTTTCACCCAACCCTTCCCCCCCCCCTCCTCTGAAAAATTTCTACAAGATCCATAGAAATATCAGGATGTTTCACTGGCAACTTTCAGGAAGTCTCAAACCATTTTTAGCTCTCCCCCCAATCCCTTTTTTTTTTTTTCCCCTTCTGAAAATGCACATAGTAATTGTTTAAAGCTTATTTCTTGTTAACATAGGTGAAGAGGGCCTATTTAAAGCTACAGTTGTGGTGGCAGGAGAAAATGCTGCCAAGGTAAATCAAAATAGGTGCTTGACTATATGAATACAGCTCTTCAGTGTGCTTGCAGTCAGTTTTGTTCCCAGGATCTCACTGCACCATGAACTGCTTCTACTCCAACAGCAGGCTACTTGGGAGTTCTTCAAAGAACATTTCAGGCTACACTTTGTATTCAGCACTGCCATGCAATAATGTAGCTGGCTTTGTAAGGCTGCCTTGCTGAAGTGACAGCTTACATACATCTTAAAAGAATCTGTACTATTTTGTGCAAACATACCTGTTTTCCAATGACATATGTGCAAATAAACCAGACTCTCTCAGCAACCCCACTGCTGATCTCCAGTGATGGTTTTCTAATACTGAGGTATTCTGCCAATGAAAAGGGTATTACAGGAATCAGTGAGTTTTGCTTAAATTGAAGAGCTATATACTAACAGCAGTACCAGACAGTTCCATTGGGATTTAGAGGTGGTGCTTTTCTTTCTTTCTTTTTTTTTTTTTTTTTCCAAGAAGGTTAAAAAACTCATAAATGCTGTATACTTAGTTAGCTTGCACTTTTTTTTTTTTACTCCAAATAACACAAAAACAATGTCTGGATTCAGATCTACCACCAGCGAAACACATCACAATTTATACTTCTGTACTCCTCAGGCATTCTGCCAACCTGGTATTAATGAAACAACCCATTTTGTCCTTACCTTATACAAAGTTGCTAAGTAATGGTTTGTTTTAATTAGGAAAGGTTGGTTAACGCCTGGGTGATCCAAATCATGTGTGGCAGCTGCTATTAAACTAAGCAGAATGTCCCATGGAGTTAAAGATTTGGAAAGCTGTAAGATAATAGCAACAAATATAATTCTGTTAGCAACACAACTACAACCTTAGAAAAAGTCCATGAGTGTCTTTTTTAGTGATTAACAGCCAACAAAAAGAGCATATTTTAATAATGTAAACCAAATATTCCACTGACTTTTCAAAGTATTTTCCCTGCAAAAAGGTATCAAACCTCAACAGTGATGAAAGCATTATTCTTTCTGAATGAGAAATTTCAGTCTTAAAAAATGCTGGCACACAAAATGCTACTTTCTAGCTGGTACTGAAGTACTATTTCTAACCAGATCCTGTAAAAGCAGCAAATTCTTAAAATTAGCTCTCCATATCATTTACTAGGTCTGTCTGTGTCAATTTAGCTTTAAATACAGAATATATTTTTTAAAAACATAATAACCTTCCATCTGAAAAGAAAGAAACCAATGCTCTGGAAGACTTCAAAATTGTTCAGAATGGATTTCTACTCTTAAGCAAAATTGTATTTCAAAGCCTCCCAGGAAAAGAACCAAAGACAAAAATCTGCCAAAAATTAATACTCTCAAGAACTATGTGCACATTGATTAACTCAGTAGGAGTAGGAAACTGCAAGGACTTACTGTCACTGCTCAGAGCTGTTACTGCTTCTGGTTGGGAGGCTTTGTGAGTTAAACTGAGTAATAAGGTCTAGCTTGTACTAAAACAGAGAGGACAGTTCTGCCCACACAGAAGTGAAATGCAGCAAACACCCTGTGAGGACACAAGTTTGTAACATTCCCTGCTGCATTTGCCGTCTCTCATGCCTCACATGTTTATAATGGACTTTGGTGCAACAGAACCAGTAGCTGTATGTGTTACTAAAAATACAAAACCTATACTTGGATCTGAAGCATTACAAAACTTCCATCACGAGTATTAAAGCAAAAATGCTCAGAGCTTCCCAACTGCATGCCACAAAAAAAGCTCATCATGTATCAGTTCTGATTTGGCTCACTGCACCAACTGATCTGAGAGCACCACTGAGAAACTGAGTGGGAGGAGTGGGCAAAGAGCCTCTGAAAAACATCCAGGGAGCCAGAACTTACTTGTTTTAACCTCAGAAGCAGAATACAGAGCTATTCTATTCAAGAGAATACCACTTAGAAAGAGAGGCCCGAGAGAACTCCTGATGTCTTGCTTTAAGGTATCTGTAACAGAAGCACCACTATTCCTAAACACCAAGGATGAGCAAAGCAAAGGTAATGGTAGTTTCCAGAGGGAAAACAAAAAGAAAAAAAAAAGGAAAAAAAAAAAAAACACACAAAACCATCTCAAACCACAAACACGCAGGTTTACTTCCCCCAGCTCTCACTCAAGCTGCAATTCCATATGCATGTCTTGGGGCACAAGGCTGTGTTAAACAGCTGCAATCTACATCAAACCCCTGCACTCCAGGATTCAACACCAAATCACACAGAAAAAAAAAAAAAAAAAAAGGAAAAAAAAAAAAAACACACAAAACCATCTCAAACCACAAACACGCAGGTTTACTTCCCCCAGCTCTCACTCAAGCTGCAATTCCATATGCATGTCTTGGGGCACAAGGCTGTGTTAAACAGCTGCAATCTACATCAAACCCCTGCACTCCAGGATTCAACACCAAATCACACAGAAAAGACAATTCCAGCTCAGAAGAGGCGAAAAAAAGTAGCGTGAACCCAAAGCCTCAGCAAGATGGAGCATAATTCCCCGGGCGGGGGGGGGGGCGTTTATGTTCAAAAGTGGCTTTTGTTGGGCTTGGGGGTTTGTTTTTAATAAAAAGTGCATGCATATGCACATATAGGTATATACATGCACACAGTCTATCTATATGCACACAAGTGTATATATTTTTGTGATGTAAAAGTGAGAACACTCCCTTACCTTGGGTTCTTTTAAGTAACAGTGCATGGCCTGAGTCACATCAGCAGCATGAACTGCATTATGGTAAGGGTTTTGACTGTGATAATCTTCTTGAACCATGACTGCAGGAAAACAACAAATATCCAAGTTGAAATGAAACAGCAGGTTTTTTTCAAGAGTCATTTTATATGTCCTTGTTAGGCACAGAAATATTCAGTATCTCAAGTTACATACACATAAAAACGTCAAAGTCAAAAAATCATCAGCTGAACCAAGAAGCAGGTATAAAAGATTAAGTGAAAAATCAGTATTTTCTATATGAAACTAACTATATGTGAAGTTTCTCATTGCAAAAATTGAACTTGAAATCAATATATGATCTGAGATATTCTGACTTCGAGGACTTCCCAGGAAAGGCCCCCTTTGATAATCTAGCATGCCTAGTTATGTTGAGGCAACATGGAATACAAAATGAAGATGACAATTTACCAAAGAATCAGGATGACTTCATATCATGCCTTGAAAACAGACAGGATCAGAGGAACTACACATTGGTTTACTGTCATATGAAGTGTTTTTCTTTCCCCTTCAGGGAAGTGGTCATTGGAGGCCATCTGTACATAGTTTAGGCATCTTCTTATACTTGTACTCAGGCAAATTTAAGTCTATACACAATTTAGAAAAGGATGTAATTTAAATGATGGTGTGCCTAAACCCTCCTAGACTTCATACTTATTATTTTACTTCTTCCATACTTTCCCTCCATCTTCCTGGCTGTCATAAAACACCATAGATAGAATACTTTAAAGGGCATCCACAATAGCATGAGTGTAACGACTGAAATAACTACTATAATGTTTAAAAGGATAACATGGGAGAAGATCTGAAGCACAACAGTGAAAGCATATTCTAAAGTTTTGCCTTGGTTTATCATATTAGCTCGTTTGAGCAAACCTCAAACAAACATTCTCCAGAATATGGTCTGTCAGTCCCATTCAAACAAACAGGCCCACAATCTATTTTCGTACTCAATTTATAAGCCAGTACCCTCTGTGTAACTGACTGCAGTGTCAGAGAGTTACTGCCCAGTATCTGTGAAAAGCTGTGGCTCATGCAAAGTCCAATACTGTCAACACTGTGTAATCTCAATAGTACTCAGTGCATAGCTGACAACTTGGGCATTTAAGCATTTTTGGGCTCTGCTAATCTGCATCCGAACTCTTTTTCATCTATTCCTCACTTCAAGTGCATGAATGATGATGTCTTTGGCTTAATCCCCTAATTTTTGTACCTTCATAGGCTTGTCCAGCTACTTCAAGTCTACTATTCTCTTATTTATTTTAATAAGCAGGCCTAGGATAATACTTTAATCACCATCTGCCAGAACTAGAATGGCACAACAACCGTTTGTTTCCAGAAATGCAGTACTTTGTATTTTCTCTCCCTTTGGAAATCACAGAAAGACTGTGTATGTGTATAAATAAACACACATACAAGAGACATACATACACACACACAAAAATAAAATGCTGAGATCCTACTGAGGCCAAAATCAGATTTTTGTCCTTTAAGAGATCCCAGTAAGTTCTTAAATAAAGTGAATCTTATGTGGCACTATGGACAACTTGAGCTGTCCTAGTCTTCTGGAACTTGATCTTCAGATTACTTTGAACTAGTGTATAAGAGGTAGCAGAAGAAAACAATGATTTGGGTTCATGCAAAGAAGCTGTAATTGGAAGAAAGGCTACTTGATTGGACAGACAGGCTAGGACCAAGCTAAAATTAAAAAAAAAGTTCTCCTCACTGCTATTAAGTAGAAGGCAGGAACAAAAACACAAAGATGGTGAATTTCAAAGCTAGAATAAAAATTTGCCTTCTTCCAAATCTAACCTCCTTGCAGTGACTCACAGTTTTGAGTATTCATATGTAGTTAAGACTATTGTTATCTTTTGACAACCATTTACGTAATCCAGTCATTCCTAACTGGTTTTTAATTTCAAGTATTGTCTTTTGCTAAATCTCAACTAACCGGGAAATAGGCAAGATGGGAAAGAACACGCTCAGTTATAACTTTAGCCTAAGACCAAATTTCTACAATAGTTTTCTTCACACTCCAATATATCAGTCCTCAGGGTCAGCTGATCTACTTTTTTGAAACTGAAAAGAATTGAGCCCACTTTAAAACAACACAAAATGCAAGACAGAACTAAAATTTTTGTAAAGCTGAACAAGCACTAAATGTTGAAAAGAAAAAAATCTGAAGTGGGAAAAATACTTGAAAGGGGAGAAATGCATACCAGACAATTTCTCCCCTAAATGGCAAGCTCTGTAAGCACGAAATTGTTTTCTCTGAAACTGTGAAAGCCTGCTAGAACAGCACAGAAATTTCCCTCTCCTGCTCAGTTAAAAAAAATACCCACTCCACAAAATTAAGGGTGTCTATGGCAGGGGGATGCAGAAGGACAGCTCTGTCAGCTGTCAAGTGAAAAGTGCCACTTGATTTTAATATTCTATATCATATTTACAGTTCTTTCCATTGAAGCATTCCAGTGCTGGAGGGCCAAACAGTTGAGTAAAATTGCCTTGCGCTTGGCTATGGGGACAGTGAACCCACAAGCACAGGGCTTATTTGTAGGAGAGTCTGAGCAAGGAAGGGAAAGCATCCAACTGACACCATCAAATATGGCCAAGCTGGCATACTCCATACAGTTCAGAATCTGTATTGTGAACTTCATAAATCAAAAGAGAACTGAAAATTTAAAAAGAGAAAGGAGCTGTTTAGCCTTTCCCAAGAGAAATGTCACATGATATCACATATATTCCTAATTCTTTAGATTTAGAAAATTCAACACAGCATTTGCTAGGAAACTACTACACTTGATAACACTTGCTTGGATTTAACATGAAGATTTCTATACTCAGAAACTTTGAGAGATTGTCTCAATCAACATAATTTAATCACTGCACAATCTGGACTGCATCAGTACTCTTCAAACCTTATTGCTAAACTATAACCAACACTTCATTAAGGTACAAAAATGCGGATAAACAGCAATATTCATCATAATAAAAAGCTGTATTTACCCAAAAATCTACGAAGTTTCATCGTATCTAACTGGAAGTGTTCAATTAGTCCATGAAGATTAAACAGATGAAAGGTTAAGCTGACTAGACTGTTTCCTAAAAATAAGATGAAAATACTAATTCATTGGAAGCCATGAAATCAGTGACTCTTTCATAAGAAATGTATTACTTCAAACGAACCTGTCACAAAAAATACACAAATTTCTCTACACCAATTTATGATAAATATTTACATCTTACTGCATGACAAGATTCCATTGGCTACCTCCTCTAGTAACCAGCGGTGTTTTTGCAAAGTTATAACGCATTCACCAATTGTCTGTCCACTGTCTACTGACAGGAGGAAAATGTTACTGAACATGAAAAAGGCAACAGGTTTCAACATGCAAACCCGTTACAATGGTATTCAACTTTGTGGTATGTTGCATCACGATATTTATAAACAGATACACAGCTTAAAACCAAATACAAAAATAATTAGGCATAGAAAAAAGCTAACCAACACAAATTATTAGCGTACATTGTACACACGCTCTCTCTCATTTTCATCAGATATTTTGCTAAACTACTATTTATTTCACAAAGAATTCAAAGGAAAAGTTTTATGTTTCACTAGGAAATGGATACTATGACAAGCTTACAATATACTTCACCTATTCATAGCTATGATATTATAATCACTTGCAGTGGTAAAACAAGTAAAACCGTAAGAGGCAGATAAATAGCTTGCAAATGTTTACTTGAAATTAGCTAGCCTGTTATTATTCCGCAAACAATACGTAGTGGCAGATAACTCAGTTTTGGTACATTGACTCTGACAATCTTCATTTAGCAGGAATTAAAGAACCTATCACAGACAGAAACTGAGGTACAAAAGAACAAAAGTTTCTGCTAAATCTAGCTTATTACTGGGCTTAATGCATTCCCACGCACATGCCACTCCCTCACAATAAGATAGACAATTCTTCCAACAGCATTTACTGAGTAATTTGTTTCTTAAAGGCCAGTCCAGGGCAGCTCATCAAGCAGAGTTTTATATGCAGCATTCTGCCCTAACAAACTTTTAAGAACAAGATTGCCTCTGTTCAAAAATGTCCTCCTGAAATGACTAAATTAGGATGCAGAGGATGGCACAGGAAGGTTTCCACAATAGAAGCTGTGCTGGTAGTATCTAAAATAAGCCTATTTAAGAGCTAGGGATGGCCTCATATAAAAAAATATCTCATTTCAGACTACTCCCCTTTGATAAATTAATCTGAAATAAATTGTGCTTACAAACAGGTTAACTTGCACACATAGCTTTTTTGCATTCAGTTATCTAGTCTAATGTTTATCATTATCTATATAAACATTATATTTGAAAAAATCCTAGCTGTTTTCATTTTTTATACCCATCTTCTGTATTAAATCAATCTGTGAGGATACTACTTTCACACTAGATTAAGCCAAGCATCCCCTCAACAAACAGGAAAGTTATCTTTTTGTGTCCTATTTTCCTTTCTGAACTTCATTTCTCTTTCTGCCAACTTTAAACACACTGACGGCAACTCTGCTCCCAGCTCCATTTGACTGATGTAAAACCTGAAAGAGTTGCCCTCCGTTTGTTTCCCACACTGGCACAAATGTTTCCTTGGTGCTTGACTTGATCATCTCCTTCTTCCATTCTATTCAAAACTCAACTTCCATTGCTGCAAACTGTAATACAAAACTTCACTCTATCTACTGCAGCAGCCCTCCCTCCCCCTTTGCAGCACCATCACAGGTATCTTTTCCATCTGTCCTTAACCAATTATTGGAGATTTTCTTTACAAAGCAACTACTTTAGTTCCTTCTGCTATTTGTAATTAGTGCACAAAACTAACCATAATTGTGCACAAAACTTCCTTTTTTTTGTTTTGTGGAAGCTACGTGTACAATAGATTCTGATCATCTCCTAATTCTGTCGGCATTCTGCTAGACATCACCATTATAATGCATTCACAACACCCTGCCTTCTTATAGTACTGTAAAGTAATAGAACTATTTCTACCTAACATTACATTGATCAGAAAAATGTTTTTCAATGTAACTGACCTCGGACACAACCATGTGAATTAACAGCATTCCATAATTTAAAAAGACTAAATTAGCAAAATTTATACCAAATTACTACTTGTAAGAGAGAACAGCAACCTACAAAGTACCAGAAGGGTCTCTTCTATAAATCAAAGATTATTACCAACACTGACAGCAATACCATTTAAACAGTGGCCAAACTAGGATTTAAAGACTATTACATCAAAAAGTACTACTTGATGAAATGTGTGCTTTTGAGCAATCACATACAACAGCATAAGAGCAATAGTTAAGTTTGCTAAGTGATAAAACAGAAAAGAAATAACAGAAGTAAACTCACCATTTGTCAGTCTATCAAAAAGAAAAATATCAAAATTCCAATTTCCAACCTTCTCCAGCATACACTGAAAGAAAACACAAAAGCTGTCACTTTTTTTCTCAGGACATGCCTGTCCTCCCATAGTCCAGAGGAGTAATTAAGATTTCAGAGGCTGACACAAGTCTTAAGATTTCTATATACAAAAAACAGTATCAATAATTGAATTTATCTGATAACTGGAAGACTTTAAAATACATCTTGTAAATTGAAACACTCAAATACAAGTGTCTTGACAGTAGTGGCATGAGATCTTCCTGTAGTCAATTTCTCAAACTAAATAAAATTTAAAACAATTAGGTTAAAAACAGAAACAACATAACAGGAAAACTGTGTTCAGACTTCTCCCCCTTTTAATTTTTTCCAATGAGCAATCCCTTTGTAGTCCTTCACCTCAATTTCTTTCTTTCCCTCATTGTTAATACAAGATAAATATTAGCTAGCTGTCTTACTAGACATAAGCCAAGATTTTAATTTCTTTAAGAAACTGGCTTTTGACTTTTCACTTCACTGAAGTAGCACTTCACAGCTGCTCCACGTGAACTGTGCTTCCAGCAGCATGGATGAACAAGAGCAGCAAACAGCACTCGAGGCCTCACTAGAGTTCAGCTGTCACAGTCCTTGCTTCCCCTGCACCTCTAGCAGAAATACCTGCCCAGCATGTTTGACAATGGATACCTGCCTTCTCCTATTCTCACTAGACTGGCAGAGCTGTTTCACGATCCAATTTCTACGTTCTAGCTTTTCTCCACCAGGCACTAAAACCCAGCTACTAAAAGAAACCAACAGCACTAACAAGATCTTTCTGCTGTTTAATTAAACGTACACTTCTAAAATCCATCTTCCAGGTTATCAGGTTCTTTCTACACTGCAGTCTGATTATGTCCCAGATGGACACATTGTACTATAAATACCTGCCTTTTCTGCAGCAAGGTTCCAAACAAGAAACTTTACAAATAATCATGAAGGCAACACAGCCTTTGGGATCTTGAGTAACCTGTGAACTCTGCCTGCTCGTTCTCCTTCAGCTCTATCCATCCTCTGTTCCCAATTTGCTAGCCCTTCATCCAACTAACTGTTCTTCTAGTACTGCCTGTCTTCCTGGTATACTTTACTGCAGCATGAATATATTATGGCTAACCCATTTTTCTAGAAGAATTGCCTACCAAAGAAAAAGTCAGTTTGACATAATAATCTCCTGATAAATCAATGTATGCTTTTTATTGAATTTTCAGTAGTAGTTAGTCACTCTTCCAGATGTTCAGTAATGAGATTAAAAAGGAAAAGAGTTGGGTAAACAGTTGTCAAATTGCTCCGTTACATTTCTGAAATAGTTACATTTTTCTTTCTTCACTTTTTCCCCCCAGTTATTACAGTGCATTTCCATTATTAAAAAAAACTGTTAGTCATATCAGGTCTAAAAATCATCCCTGTAAGTCTGTGGGAGGTGAAGGAGTTTGTTAGAAACCAGGTAATTTTAGCTGGACTTTATTATAGACATATATATAAACAAACACATATACACTAAAAAACATGCTTAAAATTTGTATTTGGCTGCACTCTCTCTCAACATAAGACACAGTTATAAACTAGTGAACATTTTTTAAAACATACTTTCAAAAAATAAAACAAGCAACCAACCTTTGCTTGTCCATTATAGTCATCATCTAAAATGTTTGAAGAATTTGGAACAGTGATACCACGGAAAAAACGGGAAGATCTCAGGTACCTCTGGAAACTAAGCAACCTTCTTACATTTCTCGCAGAAACAGACACCTCAATTTCAGAATTTGCTACAAAAAAAAACACAAACAAACAAGAAAACAAATACTCTCTCTAACAAACCTTTGCCAAAACAAGAAGACTGTCTGGGGAAGTTTGGTACAAAGGTGCTGTACATTTTTTTTTATTGGAGTAGTGAACGTTTCAGCCATAGAGATTTTTATTAATGGGAAGTACAGAGCCACAGCTTATAAAAGCAAGGTCTGTATGTAAGCATCCTGTGAAGAAAAACAAGTATTTAAATTATAGCTAGAACTTATCTTTTTAAGGAATTCTCTTAGTCAAAGGACAGAAATACTACTGACATTTTGTAAAAAAACCCCATAGTATTCTAAACAAGTTATTTCTGGAAAACTGCTGTCATATATATACATCCAATCCATGCCTCTAGAAATTCACATAGGAAAAGTACACCAAGGGAGTGTCAGGAACTCTGTTGATACAGGAGTTATAAGCAGGTTTTAAGCATGTACAAGTAACTTTTACACCGATTTTTTTAAGCTCAGAAATTTGCTTACCTTAACTGGTAAAGTTTTAAACATACTCAGATGATTTTGGTGCTTTTGCAGACAATTACAGTGAGAACCTTCCCTCTGCCAAAGAAGTGCCACATCTACATTCACAGCTTATATGAGATTCCCTTTCCCACTACAGTGAAAACACCACAGAAAGCTGTTTTAGCCTGTTCTCAAAGATCAATCCAAATGTTTTGCTTCACTCATGTTAGGTTAACTGGTTTAGTCAAATGACTGATGCTAGCTTATATTCAATTCCACTTGATATGCCTGAAGTGTTGTAGAAACCTGGAAGATCAAACTACGTATCTATATATAGCTCAGTTCTTCGTAAGGAATGGGACAGATATTTTAATTCTTAAATTCATAAGGCCCAATGTGGCCTTTGCTTTCTTTTCACCAGTATCCACCCAACAGCAGTTTTATTTAACCATCAGTCAGTAATCTTGATATTCCCTCATTCTGCCCTGAAATACTTATGTTTAAAAATGAAAAAAGAAAGGGTATTAAATAAGGAAGTTAATGCAAACACGCTCTCTTCCAAAAGTGCAAATCCTCAAAACCAACATGAGCCCGACTTTGTTGTACAGACCTTGTGCCCTTCAAGGAGTGAGGCATACTAGAAACTGGTTAAACAAGCAGTTAAAGTTTTGGTTATTAAAGTCAATAAAAAATGTCATTCAGGGGGAGGTGTGGCCTTATTATCAACCTCAATTAAAAACTTCTGTGTTTTCTAGTTAAAGCAGTTTAATTCTATAAAATAAATCTTCATCCAGATTAAGTTCTTTCTGGAGAAGTTCCGATGTACTTTCAGTTCTACATTATTTCATTCACACATTTTCCAATCTACACTAAAAAAACCACCCCTGAAGGGAATTCACAACAGCCCAAACATACAGTATCTAACAAAAGGCAGCAGCGTTTCACATCAGTCTGCACTAACAGAGATTAAATGGACACAACTGGAATATTCCTTCAGATATGCCTGGAACCCTTCACCAAGATACTAAAGTACCAATCAGTTTCAAAGAGCTAACACAGGTAACTGAACATGAAATACCTTTCTTCAAGTCATCACATGTAAGGACAAAGGCACATCCTCTGAAGACACTGGTACATATAATATTGCAGTTATATAAAAAGGTGTGCTACATATGATATAAGTTGCCTATAAAGCAACATTCATGCATACAGCAGGAAAATAGACTCTGTCATGATGATTACACTACCAATATTTCTAATCACATTTGTTAACAAGAGGTTACAGCCTGCAGAACAGAGAAGCAGGGAGCAATATAGCTGCTCCTGTTAACAGCATAGGTTTCAGGTTAGAAGTTTTTCCCCCCTCAATCTTGATCCAGTCCCCTAAAATCCAAATTTCAGAACAGAACTTGTTAGGTTTGAAATAAAGGAATATCAAATGGATATATTTAGGTCATAAAATTATCTAAAACAACCACAAAGTCACAAGCAAAATCCAGGAACTTCACTACAACTCAGTAAAATGAAATATTTTAAGTGGGAAAAATCAGCAATCATCTCAGAAGCACTAATAGTTTTCTTTTTCATAAGCAGTCTTTACAGTTAACAAAAACCTACTTCGTTGTCATGCTACAACTAAGTCTCACTCTCACAGATGCCAACCATGAATTTTTAGCAGAACAGTATAATGTAGGTAACAGAAGTAAAACAACATCTTTTGTCAGTGAGGTACACAACAGGACACAAATGTGATCATTTGACAGCACAGACCTGGGTTCAACCTCTATTTGTGTTCATAAGTCACCTGGACTGCACATGTTTTTGCACATTTTTTCTGATGAGGATGTGGGTACAGAGGCAAATGAATCACTCACTTCTATGAAGCTGAACAGTCATTACTCTTTACTTTGAAATACGTTATTGAGACATTCATCTTAATAAAAATACTTTTTCACTCACTAAATTGTTGTGCAGTTCATAAACCACTGCTCTTACACTACTTTTTCTCCCCCTTATTTAAAAAAAGAAAAAGAGCACTGCCCCAGCTGCTGTAATTCAAATATGAAGCACCCTTCTTCATTCCAGATTTCCTGGCAGCAATGCTGCTACTACAGAATCACAGAACAGCAGAGGTAGGAAGGGAGTTCTGGAGGTCATCTGGTCAAACTCCTCTGCTCAAACAGGTGACCTAGACCACATTGCCTAGGACAACATGTAGGCAGCTTTTTACTATCTTCAAGGATGGAGAGTTCCCAATTTCCCTGGGTAAGCTGTGCCAGTGCCTGGTCACCCTCAGAGTCTCCCGATTCTCAGATGCAAACTCCCATCTTTTAGTTTGTGCCCATTGCCTGTGGCCGTGTCACTGGGCACTCCTAGATAAAGCCTGGCTCCTTTCTCTTTGCACCTGCCCTTCAGGTATTTACATATATTGATAAGATGCCCCCCTGAGCCTTCTCATCTCCAGCTTGAACAGTCCCAGCTCTCTCAGCCTTTCCTCATCAGCCCCTTAACCATCTTACTGACCCTTCACTGGATTCTCTCCATCACGTCCATCTCTCTTGTGCTCTGGGCAGCCCAAACCTGGACACAGCACTCCAGGTGTGGCCTCATCAGTGCTGAATAAGGGGCAGGATCATCTCCCTTCACCTGCTGGCAATGTTCCTCCCAATACAGCCCAGGATACCCTTTGCCTTCTTTGCTGCAAGGGCATTTTCCTGGCTAATGTTGAGCTTCATGTCCACCAGGACCCCAGGATTCTTCTATACAGCTTTACAGGTGGCCAGCCCCCAGCCTGTGCTGGTACCTGGGGTTGTTCTTCCACAGGGGCAGGACTTTGCACTTTCCTTTGAAACTCCTATTTATTCCAAACATATAGCCCAAGTAGACAGTAACAGCTTGACCTAATGTCTTACCATTTAAATTTGCAAAGACACAAATAACTTCCAAACAAGAAAAAAGATCTTGAGCCCTGCCAGCCTTCTGCTGTTCCAGAACATCTAATTCAGGAGGACTACCCAACCCAAAAAGTAAATTGCTTTCTCTTTAACAACTAAAGATTTGCTACGGGACAATTCAGAAGAGGTGAGTCAGATGTGGAGGTTTGACAGGTAATTAATTTAAAAGGCAGGATGAAAAAGAAAATAGCTAGCTTTCAAGAAGG